TTTTAAAGATTTTTCATTCATTTCATTATCTGCTTTCATGTTTAAAATAATAAATACATTTTATTAGAAGTTCTCAACATCAAATAAGTTCATTCCTCCTTTCTTTACTTGCATAAATTAATTACTCTAGTGCCACTTACAGCACCACAGACATTTTGTCACATTTTCAAATCCATACCCTTGTCCAAAGAAAATGCAAAACATACAAACAGTAAAGTCATTGAGTTCAATTCTCTCCTTAACAAAGATTAGAATATTAATATTTAATTTCAAATAGAAAAACACACATTCTTACATGGAGAGTAAATACATACTTATTATTAAAAAAATAATTATTTTGAAAGGAAAATATCAAATTAATATTTTTGATACTATTAATGTATTTTATTATAAAATGCAAGAAATTTTTTTTAATATAACTTATCTGCATTCTCAATATTCCCAGTGTATATTCTCTACAATTTCAAGACCCTTTTTTTAATTTAAATTTTAATTATTGTAATTGTTTTCTTATTCATGTGTGTTCTCTTCGAACATCTATCTCATATTATTTAACCTTCATTTAAATGTTTAAAATTTAGACAAAACCTTTATGTTAACACCCTTTTACAAATATACATATTGTTTAGTTTCATTAAAAATTCTAAATTACTTTTCATAAAATTATTTGAAAACCAAATCACACTCTAGAGACTGGAAAATTTAATCTGTTGTGAAGTCATTCACATAAGTTTAGGAAATTGTTTGTATTTGAATGGTTTTGTTCTTAATTTTGTGTATTTTTGAATTGTAAGATGAATGAATGAATATTCATTTTATTTTAACGACCTTTCTTGAAGAAATGCAATTTGATTTGTAACAGTGGTGTTCAAAACAAGTATGTCTTACTTAAACCTGTTACAAGAGGCTATTGGTGAAACTTTTCAATTCCTTTAAGGGATCCATAGACAATTATTATTAAGACTAGACTATAGACTAGGACTATACACTAGACTATAGACTAAGACTATAGACTAGTACTATAGACTAGACTAATAGGACTAGACTATAGACTAAACTATAGACTAGACTATGGACTAGACTATAGACTAGACTATAGACTAGACTATAGACTAGACTATAGACTAGACTATAGACTAGACTATAGACTAGACTATAGAGTAGACTATAGACTAGACTATAGACTAGACTATAGACTAGACTATAGACTAGACTATAGACTACACTATAGACTAGACTATAGACTAGACTATATACACACCATAGACTAGACTATAGACTAGACTATAGACTAGAGTATAGAATATACTATAGACTAGACTATAGACTAGAGTATAGAATGTACTATAGAATGTACTATAGACTAGACTATAGACTAGACAATAGACTAGGCTATAGACTAGACTATAGACTAGACTATAGACTAGACTATAGACTAGACTATAGACTAGACTATAGACTAGACTATAGACTAGACTATAGACTAGACTATAGACTAGACTATAGACTAGACTATAGACTAGACTATAGACTAGACTATAGACTAGACTATAGACTAGACTATAGACTAGACTATAGACTAGACTATAGACTAGACTATAGACTAGACTATAGACTAGACTATAGACTAGACTATAGACTAGACTATAGACTAGACTATAGACTAGACTATAGACTAGACTATAGACTAGACTATAGACTAGAATAGACTAGACTATAGACTAGACTATAGACTAGACTATAGACTAGACTATAGACTAGACTATAGACTAGACTATAGACTAGACTATAGACTAGACTATAGACTAGACTATAGACTAGACTATAGACTAGACTATAGACTAGACTATAGACTAGACTATAGACTAGACTATAGACTAGACTATAGACTAGACTATAGACTAGACTATAGACTAGAATAGACTAGACTATAGACTAGACTATAGACTAGACTATAGACTAGACTATAGACTAGACTATAGACTAGACTATAGACTAGACTATAGACTAGACTATAGACTAGACTAGACTAGACTATAGACTAGACTATAGACTAGACTATAGACTAGACTATAGACTAGACTATAGACTAGACTATAGACTAGACTATAGACTAGACTAGAGACTAGACTATAGACTAGACTATAGACTAGACTATAGACTAGACTATAGACTAGACTATAGACTAGACTATAGACTAGATACAGACTAGTCTAGAGTCTAGTCTATAGACTAGACTATAGACTAGACTATAGACTAGACTATAGACTAGACTATAGACTAGACTATAGACTAGGCTATAGTCTAGTCTATAGACTAGACTATAGACTAGACTATAGACTAGACTATAGACTAGACTATAGACTAGACTATAGACTAGACTATAGACTAGACTATAGACTAGACTATAGACTAGACTATAGACTAGACTATAGACTAGACTATAACTAGACTATAGACTAGACTATAGACTAGACTATAGACTAGACTATAGACTAGACTATAGACTAGACTATAGACTAGACTATAGACTAGACTATAGAACTAGACTATAGACTAGACTATAGACTAGACTATAGACTAGACTATAGACTAGACTATAGACTAGACTATAGACTAGACTATAGACTAGACTATAGACTAGACTATAGACTAGACTATAGACTAGACTATAGACTAGACTATAGACTAGACTATAGACTAGACTAGACTAGACTATAGACTAGACTATAGACTAGACTATAGACTAGACTATAGACTAGACTATAGACTAGACTATAGACTAGACTATAGACTAGACTATAGACTAGACTAGACTAGACTATAGACTAGACTATGACTAGACTATAGACTAGACTATGACTAGACTATAGACTAGACTATAGACTAGACTATAGACTAGACTAGACTAGACTATAGACTAGACTATAGAAAACTATAGACTAGACTATAGACTAGACTATAGACTAGACTATAGACTAGACTATAGACTAGACTATAGACTAGACTATAGACTAGACTATAGACTAGACTATAGACTAGAATATAGACTAGACTATAGACTAGACTATAGACTAGACTATAGACTAGACTATAGACTAGACTATAGACTAGACTATAGACTTGACTATATACTAGACTATAGACTAGACTATAGACTAGACTATAGACTAGACTATAGACTAGACTATAGACTAGACTATAGACTAGACTATAGACTAGACTATAGACTAGACTAGACTAGACTATAGATTAGACTATAGACTAGACTATAGACTAGACTATAGACTAGACTATAGACTAGATTATAGACTATAGATTAGACTATAGACTAGACTATAGACTAGACTATAGACTAGACTATAGACTAGACTATAGACTAGACTATAAACTAGACTATAAACTAGACTATAGACTAGACTATAGACTAGACTATAGACTAGACTATAGACTAGACTATAGACTAGACTATAGACTAGATTATAGACTAGACTATAGATTAGACTATAGACTATACTATAGACTAGATTATAGACTAGACTATAGATTAGACTATAGATTAGACTATAGACTATACTATAGACTAGTCTGTAGACTAGACTATAGACTAGACTATAGACTAGACTATAGACTAGACTATAGACTAGACTATAGACTAGACTATAGACTAGACTATAGACTAGACTATAGACTAGACTATAGATTAGACTATAGATTAGACTATAGATTAGACTATATACTAGACTATAGACTAGACTATATACTAGACTATATATATTTATATGTAAAATAGCACTTAATAAAGTAATAAAGTACAAAAATTTTCCGTACCTGGTTCTCAATATCTCATCAATAACAAGACATTAACGTTATTTGCTTGCTACTAGGGAGCACATTATCCCTAAGCAATACATTTTCATTTTTTAAGGGCATTTTCAATTTGACCTCGTCAATTTTAAATACATACAACAATACCATTTTATATTTCTTCATTTATTCTTCTTCTTTGAAATCTTTAAACTCCCAATGTGAATTGATTTGTATTTATATTATGAACCCTGAGTGGTTTGTATGCGGTTGACATCGTTTAGGTAAATATTCCATTCAAAATACATTTATTTAATTTATACACACATGCAACCAACCAGTCAAACAACCACATCGACATAAATACTTATTACATACCGTCGTATGTTGTACATAGAAATACTTACAATAATAAATTATTGAAAATAATGTATATACTCTATAAATATATAATATAGAAGAAATAAATTTATATTTGTAAGTTTTAGTACACAATAAGAAAACTTAGAAAAAATTGTTAAAACCTCAGGAATGTAAGAAAATGAAAATATTTTTATTGACTTTTGCAGGCTCAATATTAAAATAGTATGTACAAAACGAAGTGGGTGGGTTTTTTGTAAATGTACATACAACTAAAACCAAAGTAAATAGAAATAAATTTAGAAGTTTATTATAAAAACATTTACATATACTTACATATGTATGTATATCTTTATAATAATAACAAAACTGACTTCTGTCAGTTCAGGGATGGAAAATTTAAATTTAATAATAAAATTAGGTTTTCTTAGGTTGTTAATTCTTTTCTTCAGAATGACATGTTAGAGATATTAAAAATACCCATCTCTGAAATGAATTTAAATTACACTTACATTTATACTTTATACAAACATCGCATGTACTATGTAGGTGAAATGTATTTGTATGTCTGCATTTGTCTACATTTTAGTTTCAGGTGTAAAAATTCTTAAATATTTAATATAAATTAGAATCTGTGCTTGTGTTTTCTTTTCATTCTAAACATTTTTTTTGGGGTTTTAAAATTAAAACATTTAATAAAATATTTATAAACATATACATACAAATGAATTTTTAAATAAATGTTTTTAAATGTGTTTTGTCTCTCTGGTCTGCTGTATGCAAATTAATTTTTTCTTTTTATCAAATTCCATTTTTTTCTCGTATAATTTTAGGCCACAAAAACATGTCTGGCATGGTGCATTACCCAATGGAGAACGTTCAATTGACACATATTGTGATGCCTGGCATTCGGGGGCAAGAGATAAATTTGGTTATGCCAGCAATTTGCTGGGGAACAAACTACTAGATCAGGAGCGTCTAACATGTGATAGTAAATTAATAGTATTATGTGTTGAGGCTCTATCACAGGATCGACGAAAAAAAACGCGACTTGAGTGACAGGTAAGTAAATTAATATTTGTACTATTCTACATACAGATTTATATTGCATTTGATATATTTGTGTTGTAAAACTATTTAATATAAATGTCATGTGTAAATACCAAGGGACAAACATGTTGGAAAAAAATTAAAATGAGATAAACATCTATAAATGTTTGTACAATGGAATATATTCAAACTTGGTATATTACTTTAGGGAGAGTTTTATGTGTGAGATGTGTAATGTTTATAAAATAATTACACTTACAAAAAAAGAATTAGAACTGAACTAGAACTGATCTAAACTGACTAGAACTAGAACTGAACTAGAACTGAACTAGAACTGAACTAGAACTGAACTAGAACTGAACTAGAACTGAACTAGAACTGAACTAGAACTGAACTAGAACTGAACTAGAACTGAACTAGAACTGAACTAGAACAGAACTAGAACAGAACTAGAACAGAACCAGAACAGAACTAGAACTGAACTAGAACTGAACTAGAAACTGAACTAGAACTGAACAAGAACTGAACTAGAACTGAACTAGAACTGAACTAGAACTGAACTGAACTGAACTAGAACTGAACTAGAACTGAACTAGAACTAAACTGAACTGAACTGAACTGAACTGAACTAGAACTGAACTAGAACTGAACTAGAACTGAACTAGAACTGAACTAGAACTGAACTAGAACTGAACTAGAACTGAACTAGAACTGAACTAGAACTGAACTAGAACTGAACTAGAACTGAACTAGAACTGAACTAGAACTAGAACTAGAACTAGAACTAGAACTAGAACTAGAACTGAACTAGAACTGAACTAGAACTGA